GAGTGGGGTGGGGAGGGGGGTGGGGAGTGAGGGGAATAGGGAACTGATAGCGTTGATGATTGTGTAACTCTATTCAATGGGATTGAACAACAGAATTGTATATGAATGGCTATATTGGATTGTGTAAGATATGTCAATAAAACTATTATTTTTTTAAAAAAGCCTTACCGGCTCAGAAACCCTTGGGGCAGTTCTGCTCTGTCTGATAGTGTCACTGAGAGTTAGAGTAGACCCCATGGCAGTGGGCGGGGGGTAGTTCTATCTTTCCCAGAAGCCCTTTGAAGCATATGGTTGAGAATAAGCAGCCCCGGGTTTCCACCTCCCCCCCAACAGGGTTAGTGGTGCTGTTCCAACAAAGGAAGAAGTTAGTTAAAACCCTGACAAAATGTCAGGTAGCTGCACACCACCATTTTAAAAGTTAACAGGGAGAGCATAAATGTGAGCCTTTCCAAGAGGCTGTGAAGAGCACAGAAGAAAGCAGAGGGTGGGGCTAGGGGTGGGGGTGGGGGTGCTGTCCTGTTGAAAAGACTCCCCTTCCTTAACAGCACCTCTCAGTGGTTCTCCTCCTCACCACAGCCCAGCCTCTGCTAATCTTCTCTGGAGAGGAGGTGAGAGGAAGTGGGGAGCTCCCTTCCCCTCCCAAGAGTAAAAGCTGCCTGCTGCCTGGAGCTCCCAATCTTGCTGGCAGGCAGCCTACTCTAAGCATCTCTTTGTTCTTCCTCAAAGGCTATCTGCCTCAGTGGCATAAGCTGCCTGATAATCTTCCTGATTTGGGTGGGGAAGAGCACGAGACAGACTGTGCTTGCCCTATGTCCCCACTGTTGTGTGCTCTGAAGCAGTGGTCCTCCACCTTCCTAATGCCACGACCCTTCCATACAGTTCCTCATGTGGTGGTGTCCCCCAACCATAAATTTATTTTTGTGGCTACTTCATAACTGTAATTTTGCTACTGTTATGAATCGGGCGACCCCTGTGAAAGGCAACCCAAAGGGGTCACGACCCACAGGTTGAGAACCACTGTTCTAACGAGTACCTGGCTGGCTGCTCAAAGAATCAGAAGAGAGAGAAGCTCCTTCCCTTTGCTCCTTCACAGGGCAGCTCAGCAAACATCTCTGAACTTCACCCGAGAGCATTTGCCGGACTCTTCATTCTGGGAGTCAATCTTTTCACACAAGAGAAAGGTAACTTGTAAAGCTCCAGAGGGTGGAAAGAATACAGCCTCTTGGTTTCAAATACCGCCCCAGCTTCAAGCGCAGCACAACCCTCAGAGATGTGAAAGTGGGCTGGGTTTGCAGAAACCTAACATGTGCTGTTTCTGCAATGAGCTGAAACAATCCTGACCACCCATGCAGAGCAAGGCCGTAATAACCAGCCAACACCACAAGCAAACCAGCAACCTATGTCCTTCTGAGAACCTTAGTTTTGCATTTCCTAGTCCTCTGGTAGATTTGATATTGAAGTATTGCAATGCAGCTGAATACAGTGTGGATCAGAGGTACACATGAGTCAGGGGCCAACTCAATGGCAACTAATCACAATGACCACCATGCCTTGGAGGAAAGAGCCTGCCTACATGCCCACAGACTGTGTGCTAGTCTGGCTGTGGGTAAGTAATTTCTCTTAGCATCCTGAAGTCTGTGAAGCTCAGCATCTGGGCACTCAAGAGGGAGACTGAGATGTTGAGGGCTTCCATGATGTGCTGAGGGCATACTGAGGGCCTTCAAGGTGTGCCCCAAACCCCCAAGTTACATTGGAATGTTAGAGCGAGGTGAAGGAGGCACACATGCTCGCTTTCATTCTGTGTCTGCGGACTGAAGAAGTACATCCAAAATGTTCCTTAGAGGTAAGGATCGCAAGACTGTGTCTCCCATATTTGGGACCTGCTGTCAGGAGAGAGCAGTCCCTGGAGAAGAAAGTCATGCTTGGTAAAGGAAAGGGGCAGCAAAAAGAGAGGAAGGCCTTCCATGACGTGGATGGGCACAGGGGCTGCAACAATGGGCACAGGAACAATGATGAGGATGGCGCAGGACCAGGCAGTGTTTCATTCTGTTATGCATAGGGTCACTATCAGTCACAACGGACTCAGTGGCACTTAACATCGGCAGACTGCTGGCCAGAGGCAGCCTCCAGATGTTCCGCAGCCCTTCCAAGATGAACGCTTCTTCTTCTTTTCCGTGGTCCGATGGCAGATGCTGGTCGTTCTAGCACAGAGGATAGATCTTCAACTAGAGAAGTCATCTGGTCGGCAAGACTACAGGGAAGGTTGGCAGCTGTCATCCATTCGTCATTTCTCCTTTCATAAGAAGTCCTGGCTATAAGCCTGACCTAGTGTAGGCAGTTAAGGACACAGATTCTGGACACCTACTTGCCAGGCAGGCTGTGTTTTGTGCACACTGCAGGGAGGGGGCAGCTGCAAAGTAGAAGCACCGATCCTATTCATGTTAAGGCACAAGCCAAACCCGAACCAAACTCACTGCCATCGACTCACAGCGACCCCTGTGGGTTTCTGAGACTGTAACCGTTTATGGGAGCACCTAGAGTCTGCCCTAAGAGGGAAGCACGCCCCTCTCCTCACTGCTGGGAGGAGCTGTTGCTTTCCGTTTCACGCACGTCCTTCTGCCATGCTTACAAACTCGACTACCAGAGAATGGTTGCCAGCTCTCTGCTTGGTTTCTCTTTCTCTTTCAGATAAACATCGAACGAGTCCCACACAATGCAACAGTCTCCTCCCCTGGTCTCAGTTCTACAAGATCCAAACCCAAGCCAGCCTGGCTCTGTGGCAGGCAGACCTGATTTCCCGGACTATGGCCAGTCAAATCTCCAAAGCTGAGGGGCTGTGTCCTGGGAAGGCCTGCTTGCTCATCCTGATCTCCATGCTGCTGCAGTCCCTGTGTTTGGCGGTGACCTACATGTACTTCACCAAGGAGCTGAAGCAGGTCAGTGCTGGGAAACTCTTGGAGTTGACTTTCGCAGAAATCCTCCCCTTTCTCTGTTTTGTGGCCCTTCCATTGTCAATGCATGTCACTGCTGAGGGCTTTGCGAAGCTGGGCGTTCTGGGGACAGTGTGAGCCGAGGGCAGTTACAGAACTGTCTCCCTCAGTGGCTAGCAAACACAGGTGAGGAACCTCCTGGGGGACTTTTGTGGTTGTTGTCTTAAAAGTACATCTATTTTCTAATAGTAGCAGTCGCTACCAAGGAGTGAGTGCTGTCGGCTAGGTACTTTGTAGCTGTGGTCAGTCAGCCTCGGCAGTGTACGCCTCTGCACGAGGGCAGGGGCTCTGTCTGCTTTGGCTCATAGTTACTCCTCTGGGACCTCGCAGACGGTTTACACATTTCATAACAAGTGCTCGCTAAATACTTTCTGGCTTAATGAGCAACTTTCATGAGTGGGTGGGATAGGGACAGGGACAATGCTGGAAACTGCTGAATGCTGGTGCTTGATATATTGGCCAGGGTTAATTCCAGGGGATGTGCAGACAGACATCTGCTGAAAACTGCACAGACAGAGAAATGCTCTTTAGGCATTGTGTGTTTATCTTCAAACCTCAGACTCTTAACCCCTTCAAGCCTCTTCCTCCCTCTCCTTTCTATAAAGTATCTTACATTATTTGACTGGGAAGAGTCCAGGGTGGAAATGTCAGCTTTGTCTTTTCTCTCCACCTGTGAGCATGAGATGAGGATAAACTCCATCCTTGGGAACTATTTTGGGTCTGAGCTGTGATATTTTGGTATTAACAATCAGAGACCACAAGAAGGGCTGGCCTGTGTATGTGCCCTGGTCACAGATAGGAGTGGCATCTGTAGGAAAGAGGTTACCAGATGGATTCAGCAGTCTACTGCTTGGGATGTGATAATTGAAAAGAAAAGTGTCGTTGTATGCTTAACACTAACCCATGCCATCTAACAGAGGGGGAAAATGTGCCATCTTAATTAATATATTTCTCACCCCCCCCCCAAGAAAACTTTTGTAACTATGAATGCAAATTGGTTTAAAAGAAACCAATACAACTTCGATTGTACTAGTACATTGACCTATATTTTGACTGTGCATATACTTGTGTTATGTGACTATAACAAGGAATTGCAAACCTGAGAGACCCAGGCAGAGCCCCACCGTTATTAGATGCAGAGATTGGAGACCCTGTCATATAAGGATTAGATATTTGGTCTCCCATAATATGTACTGGGCTCCATATACCTGGAGATGTAAACCTGCTTAGAAACAGATTTTGCTTAGTTGTGTCAATGAGGGCACGTAATGGTAGCGTGTATCATAAACGAGCCATCCCTAAGCAAGTTAGATACAAGACAGTACCCACCAGGAAAGACAGATTCCTTGTCTTGTCCCGTACAAGGAGTGCTTGGGAGTGCCTCCAGAGAAGGAGTCAACATGATCTAGACTCTAGAGTTTGATTTGGATTTTCAGTTTCCAGAACTATAAGGAAATAAATGTCTGTCTTTGAAAGCCATGCCTTTGTGATATTCCTGTAACAGCAGTGCCAGGAAGCTAAGACAGCCTACAAGAAATGACTTACCAACAGTCAGACAAGGCACTAGGGCTTACTTACACCCAGTCTGTGGGCCCCTCTGCAAGCATCTTCCCTCCAAGGCATGATGGTCATTGTGATTAGTTGCCATTGAGAAGCCCCACCTACCTCATTTGCACCTTGAGATACACCCTGTCTTCTGTTCCCTTGGGATAATGCAACATCAAATCTGCCAGGTGGCTCAGAAATATAAGGCAAAGGTTCTAGAAAGAAAATAGGTAAATTGTGCAAAAGCCATAGTGTTTGGATTATCTGTTAAGGAAAATCAGCTTGCATGCCCATTGGCATGTAGATTTGGTTCTCTCTATAGGTTGGAAAGTTTTCTTCTGAAAATGGATGAAGAAGACTCCCGTTTGATTTGCAAATAATTATGCGAACTATGAGGATTAGATGGCAAACTATGACCTTAGAACTATGAACATTAGATGGTGAGGGAAAAGTCAGGCTTATTTGTAGATCACATTTAGAAAAGCCTGTAAATTTGTAAGGGAAAACAATGAGCCTACGTCGAGCCATGTTTTTAGTTCTAAGTCTTAGTGAGAAGACTTAGAAAACAACTGTTTTCTAAGAAACAACTGTACTTAATAGATTGGACTCACTGTGCCCTAGCCTTTGATCACATGGCATCATGGACACCTGGGACCCCTCAGTTTGCTAACTTTTCAACTTTGCCTCATTTTACAACTAGATGAGCTGGTTCATTAATGATTCATGCAATGTCTGCATGTTTAGCAGTTGCAAATCAAGCTTAATATCCTGATTGTGCACATATATTCTTTGATTGCATATTTACATCTGGATACATGTATGTATAGCCATGTGCTGAGCGCGCTTAGAAGAAAGGAGAATTGAGCAGCTATTGAGCACCTGCAAAATCCCAGGACTTTCGCTAAATGTCACCCCACCAACTAGCTTAATGCTGCTAGAATAAAATCAATGGAAGTGGATGACTTTAACTCACAGGAATTTATTCTCTCAGAGAAATGGAGATGGACTAAGATCATGGTTCTTCCTTTATTTAGCATGGGTCATCGTGGCATTGGGTCACTCACTTTATGCTTCTGAACCTCAGTTTCCTCACCTGTGAAATGCGAGGAATGTTACTTGTTCAGGAGGTTTATTGTGCTTATCCAAGCTAGTATACAGAAATGTTTGGTATCAATTAAGTGTCTATTAATTATGGCCACTGTGACTCCTGGTAAGAAGTCTCTTGAAGGAATCCTTCTCCTCCCCACCAATAATTTCTTGAAGGGAAAATAAATCTGAATTTCCTTGGGTGTCTGTGTAGCATATTCATGGGAGAAATATATTCAATATATCTATTATTTTTCTGGCACATTACAGGCTCCCCCTTAGCTGGTGAAAGTTTTCAGATGATAGAACGATCAAAGTTTTTAGGTGTGTGAATCAAGGAAAGTTGAGAAGCATTAAGTATGCAGGCCAAGAAATACAAACAACAACTAGGGAGTCTGAGTGTCACCGAGCAAGCTTTATTCATAGGACAAGGGAACTGTCTACCTCTGTGACACCACAGGTAGAGAGGAAAGGGGTCAAGATGACCATTCTTCACCGAATTACATCAAGGACCCTTTATACCCGTCATTGTTGTCAGGAAACGATTGCCCAAGGCTAATGTTTAAGTAGAACAGGTTAACACCCCAGTCAGTCTCCTAGTTTACCCTGATTTAGGCAATTGCCCTGTTTGCAGTTGCTGTTGAAATACACTTCTCAGAAACAAGGAAGGAAAATAGTACTCAGAGGTTCAGCTCAGGAAAAGGTTTAGCCCAAGGCTAAAAGGTGCAGTAGCAGGAAGCACACCTCGGTAAGTGAAAAGGAGGTGGAAAGCCAAGTGTGAAGAGGTGGCGGGAAGGTACGTTATGCTAATTATTCTTGGAATAACCACAGCCCCCAGCCCTGCCCAGGCCTCCACTGGCCACAGTCCGTAGAAGCTAAAAATACATATAATAGTGCAAGAGATGGGGGTGGGGGGAGGACAGAGGTAGTCAGGCTGCTTCTCTGGGTTCCTAGTTAACAGAGATTCAGGTTCCTCTCTAGAAGGAGAAAGGCCAGAAGGTTGAGTTATTCCTTTTAATGTTTCTATATTTTTTTCACATGGGGCCCTGGTGCCACAGTGTTGAAGCACTCCCCTGCTAACTGAAAAGGTTACCACCCGCATTCCAGGAGAGAAAGTCTACTGCCCTAACTCTTAGAGCCGTGGAAGCCCTGTGGGGCAGTTCTACTCTGTCCTATTGGGTTGTCATAAATGTCAAAAGCAAAACAAAAACATAAAAATGATATGTTCATCCATATCTGCTGTTCATGCAGATTTAGGAGCATGACATTTTCACAATACTGCATGCACAGTCTGATCTCCACTCTGCAAACAGGTTTGTCTAGAAGACAGGAGCTTATTCAAAGGTTAACCAGGAGATTAACCTTTGCTTCTCGGGAGTTGGCATGATGGTAGTGTCAGTTACCCTCCTTTATCTCTTTATTGACTTCAGACTGTCTGTGTATCCAAATTCATCCGGGTTCATGAAGGTTTAGTGAAGGCACATTAGCTCCTCAACTTTGCCGAAACATTCTAGAACCCTGCATGATGTTCAAGTTTCTCACACACGCCCCTAAGTGTTGAAGGAAAATTCCAGGAGGGTGTGTACCAGTGCCAGCCGGCACTTGGTCCTGACCTGGGCTGAGCCCTGCTACTAAAGCCCCACTTCTAAATTCCACTTGGCTATCATCCATGCTTGACTGGGTGGTTCTTAACTCTGCTTCCTCCTGCCTGTGACTCTGAGCTTCTCTGTTCTTGACCCCCTTACCTGTGGAGACAACTCCCAGCTCCTGTAAGGAAAGACAACAAATAACTTCTTTCCCCCACAAGAAGTTGCAGAGATTAGTGAGCCTGCTCGTTTATTTTCATCCAAGCGCAAGCCTGACCAATGCTGGCCTGCAACAGAAGCCAGTACACATTAACAGGCTTTTCTGAAGCTACCTCAGCTCTTGAAGTTGAATCCAGCTCTTCTTTCTTCCTACCTCCCCTTGTCCGTCCTCTAAGTTTGTTAGACTTGCTCACATACATATACCAGGAGACTTCTAAAAGCTCATGGATGGAATTAATGCTTTATGGAATTTGTCCGTGAGCTTTTGGAAGCACCCTGGTATAACTGAGTTCTTTGCTTGCTAAGTTTTTTCAACTCCTAAGTAAACTGGAGATGCAAATGGATGTCTACTCAAACAGAAGAGTTTGGGGAGGGGAGGGACATGGAAGGCTGTCTAATTCCATTGTCAGTCATATCTCAACTCAGATAGCCCCCATCACATCTACAAAGAGAGCACCTTCCTCTCGTAATTAAAAAGAAAAAGAAAGAAAGATGTGAATGTTCTATACC